CCTCATCCTCATCCTCATCCTCCTCCCTCCTCCTCCTGACCCACCCGCGACCCACGTTGCGACCAACCCCGCGATCCACCCCGCCACCCAGCGCCCGCTCCGTCACTCGTATCCGCAATGTCGGCGTGCTGCCTATGTAGATGTCCATGCCCACCGCCTGCCATCAAGGCTAGGCAAACCACCCCGACCCCCCCCCCCCCGTTGGCGTGTACTAGACAACCCTAGGCGTTCGCTGCGCAGCCCCTGCTCTGCTCGACTCCTCTGGATATGCGTTTGCGTGTCGGGGTGCCTCTTCTAGGGTGATTACTCTGCCCTCCTATGCCGAGCCCCCCGAAGTTCGATCCCCCCAGAGCAAGCACGACCCCAACGCCTGGGGGTCGTGCTCGCTCCGGGGTGGGAGGACGAGGGGGAGGAGGAGGAGGAGGAGGAGGAGGAGGAGGAGGAGGAGGAGGAGGAGGAGGCCTCGGCAGGCGGCAGGCAGGGGGTGCCGCGAGAGGGGGCAGGCGGCCCCGACGCCTGGGCCTACGCGGCGCTGGGACTGCTCGCGGCCGTGGTGCTGCTCGGCTCGGTGCCGCCGCCGCGCACGGCCTCGGCCCTGCTCGGCTCGGCGGCCGTGCGCCGTCGTCGCTCGCCGTCGTCCCGTGAGGACGAGACTCCGAGGACGACGACGACGACGCCGACGACGAGGCTCCGAGGACACAAACAGGCTCGCGTCGGCAGGTTCTCGGACGTGTTCGTCGGCTCTTGGGGGTGTCCGAGCCTCGGGATGACATTCCAGCTCTGAGACGGCCCAGGCTGTCGAGTGTGAGGACAGTGGCAATGGCAATGCACCTCATGGCACACACGTACTTTGCAGTTCCAGTCGCTAGAGCCTCTAGGATCAAGTGATGCATTTTGGCCTGGGGGGCTTGGTGGAGGGGTAACCGTTGCGCACGCGGTAGGTGGATCAGCAGCTGACGAGCTGACATGCCACGTTGGACGCACGCGCACGCAGTATCCCCACAAGATCGAAGGATGTGCTTGGTAGGTATGGGAGGCCCTGTGACATACCCTCATCTTGCAACTCTGCGTTTTTCCATGTTGTCACTATGTACCCGAATGGGTGGAGTAGGTAGGTCAGGAAACTACAATCACAAGGCGATGGCTAGGTGACTACTTCGAGCTCAGCTCGCAGCGGGGTGTGGTGGTCAGAGGCATCCCATCCTTCCACCGGTCTTGCCATTTACCGAGTAAGTGCGGAGCCAATTACCGAGACAGCTAGCACATAGAACACCGAAGTTGGTTGGCGTCCTTACTATTTTTCGTTGTCATCCATGTTTTGCGTTGGTGCAAATCACGTAATATTTCGCAAAGATCCCGTTCCGGGCGATGAGGAGGTTGGGGATGACATCATCTTTGTTTGCATTGGACGCACAAGTCAATTCACGAGTGGATACACATTGCGACACCAACATGGATTTCCCAGTACGTATCATTATCTCCCTCCCTCTCTCTCTCTCTCTCTCTCGTTTCCCTCTTTCTCTATGTTTCTCTTCCGTGCACATGTACATATGTGAACAGCTATAGGGGCAAAGTCATATGTCTATCTGTACATGTACTTATACAGCTCCTCTCGCGCTTCTCTTCTCCCGCTATCTATGCATTTCCCCATCTCGCTCTCTATCCATAAATCAGGGCAAGCATCATGGCAACCAGTGGAACAACCATCGGGACAATCTACACGTCTGTATTCCCCACACAGTGCTTGCACTTAGGGGCTCTCTCTCTCTCCTGGTCTAAAGAACTGGGCCTGTGTCTCGGTCTGGCGGCTCCGTGCAGGACGTCGCCGCCCCGTCGCGGCCTCGTCGCCGCCCGTAGCTTGGGCTTGTGTTGCGGTCTGGCGGCTCCAGGCCAGCCGCCGACGCCCCGTCGCCGCCTTGTCTCCGCCCGTCGTCGTTGCTTCGCTGTCGCCGTCGCGTTGCGTTGCTTTGCGCTGCATTATTTTGCGTTGCTCTCTGTTGCTCTGCATTGCAAAGCATTGCATTGCCGGGCCTTGCTTTGCATTGAATTGCTCTGCGTTGCTTCGACTTGCTTCGCATAGCTACGCCGTGCTTAGCATTGCCCTGCATTGCCATTGCATTGCTTTGCGTCGCTCTTCGTTGCTTTGCACTGGTTCGCAAAGCGAAGCATTGCATTGCTTGGCCTTGCTTGGCTTTGCATTGCATTGCTTTGCTTTGCTTTGCTTTGCATTGCATTGCTTTGTATTGCATTGTTCCCTACCTAGGCTCTGCCTAGAAGGGTTCTTACTCGCTTGGCTTAAAGGGGCCGGGCAGTGCAAACCGCCCCGGGCGGTTCCCCCAGTCCCCTGGGAGCCAAGCAAAAGCAACAGCAAAGGTAAAAGCAAACGCGCGGTTCCCTCAGTTGCGCTCCTTGGGTGCCAAGCAACAGCAAAATCAAAAGCAAAGGTAAAGGCAAAAGCAAAAGCAAAGGCAATGCAAAGCAAAAGCATCACCAATGCGAAAGTGTAGATGTAGGTGTAGGTGTAGATGTGGATGTAGGTGTAGATGTAGATGTAGATGTAGGTGTAGATGTAGGTGTAGATGTAGATGTAGATGTGAATCTCGCTGTTGATGTAGATGTAGATGTAGATGCAGGTGTAGATGTAGATGTAGCTGTAGGTGTAGATGTAGATGTAGGTCTAGATGTAGATGTAGGTGTCGATGTAGATGTAGGTGTAGATATAGATGCAGATGTAAAGAACTCCCCAGTGCCCCGCCCTCATCTCCGTGCCTGCTTGTTTTTGCTGCTGTCTCGGCGACTTGCTGCCTCCTTCTGCTGCTGCTTCACTTACGGCGTGGCGTCGGCGGTTCTGGCGCTACTACTACTACTACTACTACTACTACTACTACTACTACTACTACTACTACTACTACTACTACCACTACCACTACCACTACCACTACTACTACTACCGCTAATGCTACAACTACGACGATGAGGAGAAGGAGGAGGACGGCGTTTACCGCTCCTACTAATGTTGTTTTCCTAGAGGTGCCAACTCCTAGGTAGGGTCGCACTGGGATAATTTGTCATGAGTTTTCCTTGCTTCGCATTCCTACGCCGTGCTTTGGACTGCTTTGCATTCCTATGCATTCCTTTGCGTTATTATAATGGAACCAGGCCTGCGGGCCAGTCTGGCGGCCACGTTGTCGCCGTCGCCGCCCCGTCGCCGCTTATACGCCGCCCGTCGTGTGGGCCTGTCTGTCGGTCTGGCGGCTATGTCGCCGCCATCGCCGCCTCGTCGCTACCTTAGATTGCACAATAGATTTCCCTACTATTTTTTATATATATATATATATAAAAAAAAAAAAAAAAAAAAATAAAAAAAAAAAAAAAAAAAAAAAACAATACTTTTTTATTTTTTTTTATATATATATATTTCTCTGGTATTATATATAATATCTATATATCTATAATAATTATATATATTATATATATACATAAACATATGTATATAAATATATTATATATATACATATATATAGCCCTGCGTGCTGGATAATGTGTTCTTGAGTGTCTCCGTTCCGCTGCCGTTTTTGGGCCCAACCCCAAATCTTTCAGACGGCTGTGTAATGTTCGGCCCGCTCGCCCAAGTCACCTCCGCGTCGTTTGCTGGGAGCTGGCTGGGCGGTGTGGTCCGACCGTGCTTGTGCGAGTGCAGCTGCGCCTGTCAGTTCAACTCGGACGAGGGGGCCTTGAAGCTGCTGGAGAGGCAGCTGGATCGGTGCGGCCCAGAGCACCTTTGCCCGAAGTGTCCGACCTGCCCGTCGTGGCCGGCGCCGACTCCTTGCCCGCCGCACTGGCCGACGGGGCGGCGCCGACTCCTTGCCCGCCGCACTGGCCAACGGGGCTGGGCGGCTTCGTCGCGGGGGTGGCCTCCACCGCGCTGCTCGGCCTCTGCGTCAGGCGCTGCGGCGGCCGGGCGGGCGCGTCGGCCCGGGCAGCGCGGGTCCCCTCGCAGGGCTCGGCGCTCGAGCTTGGGGACGCGCCCCAGGCCCTGCCCGCCGCGGGCGCGGCCCCGCAGGCCCCGGCCCCGCCGTCGCCCGGCGCTTCCCTTGCGCCGGGCGGCCTTCTTTTTTGTTTTTTTTTTTTTTTCTTTTTTTTTTCTGCTTTATTTCTTTTTTTTTTGTTTTTTCTTTTTATTATTTTCCTTAATGTTGCATTCTAGTTCTTTTTTTATTTCCTTCCTTTTCCTTTTCTTTTTCTTCATTTCCACCATACCCTGCGCCCTTTGTTTGACTTTTTTTTTTTCTTTTTGTTTCTCTTTTGCTCTTGGTTTTGGTTCTTTTTTTTGTTTTTTTCTTTCTTTCCGTTTATTTTCTTGTTATTTTTTTTCCTCATTTTCCGCGGGCGCGCGGCGCGGGCGTGCTGACGCTGGGCTGAGGCGCTCGCCCGCCAGGGCAGCGCCATGGCGACGCTCCCGCCCGGAGCGTTCGCCTTCGTCCAGTATGATGATCCAGCGGACACTGGGCTCTGGCACGAACGTCTGATCATGGGCTGGATCTCGGGCGCTGAGTACGTTGTGATGACTCCCGATGGGGGCGTCTTCATCGAGCAGCTCGACTCGGCCAACCGCGACCTCTCGGGCGTGCGCTTCTCGCCCGTGACGGGCGGCCTCCCCGCGGGATTTGCGGGCGCGAGGCTCTACAGGTTCGCGGCCCAGCCTGCCGGCGCTGACCTCGCGGCCCTGCTCGCCGAGGGAGCCTCTCACGCTCGCGTGGAGCGTCAGGCGAGGGGCCTGGCTCAGCCCCCGGGCGCGGGCGCGGCGGGCGGCCCTGGGGGCGTCGCCCCGGTCGTGGCCCCTGCGCCCTTGCCGGCGGCGCCGCCGCCGGCCGCGCCAGGGGCCCCGCCGCCGCCACCGCCCGCCCCGAGGTTGGCGCCAGCTAGCGGATGCTGGGTCTTCGACGTGCCGGGGGCCACTCACTCGGTCGGGCAAGAGTTCATGTATCCCGCCGGTGCCTTGGACTTCGGCGGCCGGGTGTTTGTGACCGTCGGGGGTGGCATCACAACAGGCCCCTTCGTCGCCGCCGACGCTGACTTGGACGCGCGGGCGGCGGAGCGGCAGCTCTTCCTGATGCGTGGCGAGCCCCGCCTCCTGCCGCGCCGACAGCCCGCTGAGCCCGCCCCCTTCACCAGCGACGCTCTGCTGCTGCGCAAGGATGCTCGCATGGAGATCCGCCTGAAGGGCCCGCCCAGCATGGCGACACGGTGTCGGCGCTGCAGGCTCGGAGCCCAGGCGGGTTCATGGCCTCGCACGAGCGCTGCCTGGTGGAGAGCCGCGTGCCAGCGTCCAGCCGTTCGGCTCACGAGCACAAGGTGGTCTCGAAGGCGCTCGAGCTGGCGCACGCCGTGGACTGGGTCAACTTGGCGAATCTGACCTGCATGGAGCACCTCAACCGGCGGCGCCAGCTCCTGGAGGAGGCGCGCAAGTCCGACCCGGACAAGCCGAATTTCGAAGGGACCCACTACTTCTTGGGTGAGGATAACACAGGGTCGGGCACGTTGGCCGCTCCGAGTCTGCGCTCGCACGTCGCGGGCGAGTTCGCGAAGGATGCTGCCATCGAGAAGGAGAGACGGAAAGCACGTGAAGCACGGAAGCCACCCCCGAAGGGTGGCACAAAAGAATGACCGACTTGAACCACAGCGGCTTCTCAGCTGGCGGAGACGCTGCGGCTAGGAAAGACCAGCAAGTTTTTAGACAGGAAGCGGCTCCAACGTGGGTCTGGCCGGACGCCCAGCCGCCCGGCTGCAGGCCGCCGCCGGGTCATGTGCGACCGCCAGGCTGCTTGAGCGACCTCTCCCCCCTCCCGCTGCTCGACAAGCAGGAGGCCGATTTTGCCGGCGCTGGCCGCGCCCGCTCTGGGCAGCGCCGGAGATGCATCTGTCGGGACGTGCCGAGTGATGTGAATGACTCGCTGACGGGCCTCAATGCTCTATATGGCTGCGAGCGCTCCTCGGTCAGTGCGCCCACCGTGGCGCAGAGAATAACACGGCGGCGGCTGCCCCGCGCTGCTCGCACGGCCCGGCAAGATTTTCCCGACGTTTTCAACATGAGCCCCCGTGAAGTTGCTAGTGAGCTTCTGGGATCGCGCCTAGACTACCAGGGCTCGGTGACTTCGGTTGTTCCGCATTGCGCCGACGCCCTTTCATTGCCCCCTGCAGGACGCCAGCCCGTCAGTCTCCGAGGCTTCCTTGACTCGGACGCCGCGCACACGCCATCGCATTTTCAAGAACTCTTGGCAGAGCCCGAGGTCAGACAGGCTCGCCGGGAGGGGGGCCCGGTCCGCCCCTACATGGATGAGGTGCTGAAGAAAGATCGATCCCAGTACGTGCGTTTTTGGGGGCAGCTCGCGAGCAGTAGTGTGCTCACCACCACCTCGACTAGGAAGGCGTCTGTCACTCCGTTCTTTGTAGCTAAGAAAACCGATAAGATCCGACTCGCGTTTGATTGTCGCGAGGCAAACCAGCATTTAAAACACCCCCCTTTCACCGAGATAGCCGCGGCGGAGAGCCTCAGCGCGTTAGGGGCACCTGAGGGCAGGCAGTTGTACAGCGCATGTGCGGATATACAGTGCGCCTTCTATCAGCGCGGTGACATCGGTGATCTGCGTCAGTACTTCTGCCTCCCGAAGGTCAGCCGAGCCGAGGCTCTCCGCGCAGGCATCCCAGTGAAGGATCCGAATTACTCGAGCGACTTCGTCTACCCGGCGACGCAGGCATTGCCGATGGGCTGGTCTTGGGTTTTCTGGTTCGTTCAACGCTTACACCTCGAAGTTTTGGGGTGATGTCAATTATCGAGTTGCTCTGGGATGTTATTTTTTTTTTAATTTGCGTTGGGTTTTGGTGAGCAGGTCATTCTTTTAGCCGTTGCGCATTGAGTTTATTTTACTTTTCTTTTGTTACTCGAAGTTGTCCGCCGGTCTGGAGCCCCCTCGGCCATGGTTGCCACTGGGTCTTGGCCTCCCCCGTCGGTCGTCGAGGGCCCGATCGAGGCCCCCTACTCGGACAATGTTAACGCGTTTGGATTGGATCCTGGACCCGCCCAAGAGACCCGGGACCGCATCGTCGCCCAGTTCGAGGCCGAGGGTTTTGCCATGCACGATATCTCAGAGGCGTCGTCGGAGGGCGTCGTCTCGGGAGCTGATGTCGGAGGACAGGACCCTAGTACCCGCCGGCCCCTCAAGAAGTTATTGGTCGTGAGAAAGGCTCTGTTTGGGCTCGCGTCGGGACCCCATGTCAGTGGTCGGCAGCTCGAGGTGATCTTGGGACCCTATGTGGCCGCCTGCCTTTTCTGTCGCCCTGGGTTCGCGGTCACGCGTGCCGTTTATGAGTTTGCGAGGTCGTCCTACCACAAGCCCAGGGTCTTGTGGAGAAGCTGTCGGTACGAGTGCTGGGTGATGACAGTCCTCTGCATCCACCTCCAGTCTCCCCTGTCTTTGCCATGGGCCAGCCAGGTGGTTGCCACTGCTGCGTCCACGTCTGGGATGGGGGTCACCGAAGCCTCGGCACCGCGGGATGTTGTTGCCCAGGCTGGGAGGCGGAGGGAGAGGTGGAGATACCGCCGGTTCGAGCCCTCCGAGTGGGCCCCTCGGACCCGAGCCCTCGACGGTCTCGACGAGATCACGTTGCCTCGCACTGCTCGGGGGAACCCTTCGGAGCGAGGGTGGAAGCACGCCGTTGGTTTCCCCGAGGTGTCCCGCGACATCCTGGATGCTCGTTTTCGCGTTGTCTATGCTGCGCCTCTCAAGTATTCGGAGCACATCGGTGTCAAGGAAGGTCGCGCCGTTGTCTGGGCGTTGCGTCGTGATGCCAGAGATCCCCAGCGACACGGCTCCAGGAGGCTGCATTTAGTTGACAACTTTGGGCTCGTGCTGGCTCTGGAGAGAGGCAGGGCCACATCACATGGTCTTCTGCAGATTTGTCGACGCGCGGCCGCCTTGTCCATAGCCCGTAGCATTTCGGCTCGTTTTCGTTGGATTGCTTCGGAATTGAAGCCTGCACACGCCCCCAGTCGGATCTGGGACCGCCGCGGGGCCCAGCCACCGCGCGGGCCGTATGCTGGGCCCCCTCAGCGCGGCTGGAGGGACTACGCCCTGCCTGGCGGAGGTGCCCGCTCGCGCCTTGCCGGTCCGAGCGGCTCGGCGCACGGTGGCGAAGGCTCGCCTAGCCGCGCGCCCAGCCCCAGCTGCAGCGCCTCGGCGGAGCCCTGCCGCGGCGGCGCCCGCGCGGCGCCCTGCCGCCACGGCCTGCAAGGGAGCGCTCCGCCCACGGCTGCAGGCGGCGCCGGCGGCTCCGCGGACCTCCCCGGCGACGGCCGCGAGCCCGCCCACTTGCGAGCAGGCCGCCGCGGGTGCCTCGGCCAGGCTCTCCTACCACAAGTACTTCGAGGCCTTCGTGGAGTTCGCGGGTCAGCCGGCGGAGACGCTCGACGAGCTCAAGGTGCAGGTGCTGTCGGTGCTGGGCACGTTCCTGCACGCGGGCTGCACGAAGGGCGACGCCGACTACCTCGTCGCCTCCGTGAAGGACGCGCTGCCGATGGCGACGGGCCCAAAGACCCTTCCCCGTGTGCAGCGGGCGCTGAAGGGGCACGCCAAGAGAGCGCCTCCTCGGTCGCGAGCCCCAGCGCCTCGCGAGGTCGCGGGCTCTGCGATCTCGGGGCCCCTCTCGTTGGGCGAGCGGGATGCCGCGCCCCAGGTGCTCACGATGTTCAGCGCGTTCATCCGCCCCGGCGCGCTGAGGAAGGCGCTGGTCAGGGACCTCCTTCAGCCAACGCGCGCCGGAGGGGCCATGGCGACGTGGTCGCTCCTCCTGGCGCCGACCTCGGCGCGCCCTCTGGCCCCGTTCGCCGAGGGTGCAAGCCCGTTTCGGTTCCTGACAAAGACGGGGACGTCCGACGAGGCGGTGCCACTCGACAACCCGCTGCGGCTGGGGCCCCTTCTTGCCCTCCACGCTCACGGGCGCCAGGGCCACGAGCTGCTCCTCACCACGACGGGGATCGAGATGGCCGTCCTGTTCCGGAGGGTCACCGAGGCGCAGGGGCTGCAGGACGCGCCTGTACCAGCTGCGGCGCGGCGGGGCGAGCGAGGACGCGTTGTCGGCGCGTCGGACGCTCGCCGAGGTCAGGACGAGGGGGCACTGGAGCCAGGACAGCAGCGCGAAGCGGTATGCACAGCCTGGCATGGTGCAGCAGCTGCTGTCAGCGCTGTCGCCCGCCGCCAGGGCCCACGGCGAGGTCCAGTGGACGAGGCCCCAGGACCTCTTCGACGGGCGCGCGCGTGCCTCCTGGCCAGCGCGGTAGCCAGGCTCTGGCCTCTCGACGACTGGGGCCCGCGAGGCGGGTTTCTGCAGAGGCCTCGTGTCACAAAGTTTGCCAATCAGATCGGGGTTGAGCTAATGGCAGGCAGTCGTAGACTCTCAGCCGCCTGCGTCCGCGCTGGACTGGCCATGCGTTCCTTCGAGTATGCCGACTCAGTGCTAGAGGGCGCTCTGCATCCTGATGTTTCCCAGCCCCTGCTTGGGCTTGCCAAGCGTGGGCTAAAGTTTGTCTGGATTGGCCTGGTCTGTACGTCGTGGTCTCGAGCCAGACGAAATCCTCGCCCCGGTGGTTGGCCCGGCCCAATTCGTTCGCGTGATTGCATCTTGGGACTACCAAATCTGTCGGAGAACGATCAGCGTAAGGTACAGTTGGGCAACCGCCAGGCCGCATGGGCTGCTAGTCTCTTTTGCCATTTGGCCGCTCTTGGGACCCCCGTCATCATCGAGAACCCTCAGGGCTCCATGTTGTGGCCCCATCCTCGGCTTCAAAAGCTTATTGTCCAATATTATGCGGTGGATTGGGACCATCGTGCTTTCAAATCGCGCCATCGCAAACGTACACGTTTGTTGTGTGCAAGCTGTGCGCTCGACCCCCTCAGCTCTGACAAGTACCGCGGACATGGCGTGTGTTCGTTCACTGGCCATCCGCATGCGGAGATTGCTGGAAAAGATGACAGCGGCACGTTCCATTCGGAAAAGGCTTCCGCCTATCCCGTCGGGCTCTGTGAGAAAATGGCCCATCTTCTCTGCTATTCGTAAATTCGTGTTGTGAGCTGCCGCCTCAGGAGTGACTCTATAACGTTTGTTTGCGATGTTACCCACCCTCCCTCCCGGTACATATGTAGATATGGGCTTGGGGCTTGGAGGCGGCTGCTTGGGCAGCGCCGGCCATGTTCGATAGCATGCTTTATCGTTCGATGTCCTTGTTACTGAGTCTGCTGGCATCGGAAAATAGAGACACGTTTTAAACACGTGGCCCTGCGCGCTGGATAATGCTTTCTCGAGTGTCTCCGTTCCGCTGCCGTTTTTGGGCCAAACCCCAAAACTTTCAGACGGTTGCCCCTCCCTGCCCTCCCTTACCCAACCTCCCGCTGGCAAGCGCGTCCCCTAGCTCACAGGGGCTCGGAGGCGGCTGCTCGAGCAGCGCCGGCCATGTTCGATAGCATGCTTTATCGTTTGTTGTCCTTGTTACTGAGTCTGCTGGCATCGGAAAATAGAGACACGTTTTAAACACACACACACACACACATAGAGAGAGAGGCTCCACCCACCCACCCCCGGGTTTATCGGCCGACCGCTTCGCATTGCAACTTACATGTGAGATTCTGCCACATCGTCCATCTTAAATATGAATTCGCACTATCCCAACCGAGCCGGCATCGAACCCCCCCCCCCGCCATCTTTCGCAAAATATACTATACGAGCACATTCGCTTATCAAAAATCATAGGTGGTCATGAACCCCTTTGCCAAAAAAACGAGACGAAGTGCGCGCCGAAACATATTCGGCTTCGTAAGTATTTCGAAATCGAATGTCAGTTTTCTATAAATAGAAAAAGTGTCGCAACAGTGATTTCAAACAAAAATGCGCGTTCCTGTGAAGTCTTACGAAAACCGTCGGGTTCTCAACATTTTCCGAAAATATTGCCAAACGGGCTTCGACCGCGTGCATGTCGAAATCGTTCGAACGCCCTTGCGCGCGCGCTGGGGGTGGCATGATCCTCGTCAAAAAAATACCAGGCGGGCCACCTTCGCGCGTCGGCCGCGCGCGCATTTCGAATTCTTTCGAAAACCTTCATCACCGACGCGAAGGCACTATCATCGTCGTCGGCGTGATCAGCATGGGCACCGTCACTGGCTGCCCCGTCGTCGCTGTCAGCATCGTCACCAGTATCGCTACTATCATCATCGTGTATACCGTTGTCGACGTTGCTATGATACCGTGCCCGCTGGAATGTGCCAAGCGGTCAGCGCCTCTGCGTTCGCGTCGGTCGCGCCAAATAGCTGGCCGCTGCGCGCGCGAGCATGCGCGGGTTAGCACAGCCGCACAGATGCACCAGCCAACACCAAGCACTCATCGCAATCGCTTCCGCATGGGTTCTGCAGACCAAGCTGCAGGTGGGTGGGTGGGATGAGTGTGCGAGCAGGGGAACTGACAACTTCAAGTGAATTTCCCCTCTTGAAAAATAAATAGGTTCTACCACCCTCCCTCCCTCCCCCGGACCTAACAATCCCCAGCTTCGTATTGCAATTTACATACGGTTGTGCCCCGTTGTCTATCGTAATTATGAATTTGCACTATCCCGGGGGGGCCGGTATCGCCCCCCCCCCCCGCCATCCCTTGCATAAAAAAATTATGCGCGCACGCTCGTTTATCAAGAATCATAAGTTGTCAAGAATCCCTTGCAAGAAATGATGACGAAGTGCACACGCGCGCGTCGTCGCGCGCGCATGCCGAACTCCTTCAAAAACTCGTGGTTTCGGAAGGATTTCAGAATCGAGTGTCAAAAATATCCTGGCGAAGGACCCAACCATAAGCAATTGTTCGTAAAGCGTTGTGGGTGCCGGTTTCGGTGGGGCTCCCTATGGGGCCACGAAACGCTGCCTTGGGTGGGGGAACCGCATGCGAACTGCGCCAGTGCGCCACTAGGGCGGGCCTTCGGTGAAGCTCCTTACGGGGCCACGAAACGCTGCCTTGGGCGGGGGAACCGCATGCGAACTGCGCCACTGGGGCCTTCGGTGGAGCTCCCTATGGGGCCACGAAACGCTGCCCTGGGTGGGGGAATCGCATGCGAACTGCGCCATGGGGGCCTTCGGTGGAGCTCCCCATGGGGCCACGAAACGCTGCATTGGGCGGGGGAACCGCATGCGAACTGCGCCACTGGGGCCTTCGGTGGAGCTCCCCATGGGGCCACGAAACGCTGCCTTGGGCGGGGGAACCGCATGCGAACTGCGCCACTGGGGCCTTCGGTGGAGCTCCCTATGGGGCCACGAAACGCTGCCCTGGGTTGGGGAACCGCATGTGGACACCCCGGGCCTTCGGTGGAGCTCCCTATGGGGCCACGAAACGCTGCCCTGGGTGGGGAAACCGCATGTGGACACCCCCACTGGGGCCTTCGGTGGAGCTCCCTATGGGGCCACGAAACGCTGCCCTGGGTGGGGGAACCGCATGCGAACTGCGCCACTGGGGCCTTCGGTGGAGCTCCCCATGGGGCCACGAAACGCTGCCCTGGGTGGGGGGACCGCATGCGAGAGCAGCCACTGGGGCTTTCGGTGGAGCTTGCACCAGATTGATTGCACCATGTGTATTTCCAGAAACACTACGTTTCGGGTCCGTGCTGGCTAACATACGTATAGCTATATGTATGCAATGGTATAGAGATGTATACATGTATAGATACACACCGATTGGGCTACCAATCGTGCGTGGTTCGCGTCAGCCTGTCAGGCTGGATCAAGACCGAGCCGCCCCCATGTCGGGAACTGGAGTAGAACCGTTTCCTGCCAGTCCGCTCCCCCGGCGCGCGGCGGCACGGCCGCTGCCGCTGCAGGTGTTGCTGGTGAGCTGCCTCTGCTGCCGCGGCTGCGGCGGCGGCCTCCTCCGCCGCAAGTGGGGGAGGCCTTCGCCCCCAGCCCCCGCCAGAGATCCGGGCGTTGCGATCTTTTCACGCGGTGCGTTTTCGTTGGGTTTCGGATCGATCCAGCGCGAGAAACGCCTCAGCAAGATGGGGCCCAGGGATCTGGTCGCGATTGCACGCGATGTGTGATTTTTGTTCGTGACATCGGATCTCAGGGACCGCGGGAGAGTGCGACGACGGCCCGCCCCTTTCACGACAAAGCGGCGGCGGAGACGCCAGCGACGGCGATTAACAGCGGCGACGGTGTCGGCTGCGGCGCGGCCGCAGCGGCGGCGGCTATGCGGGCGACGGCAACGGAGACGGTGGCGGTGGCGACGGCTGCGGCGGGGACGACGTCGTTTCGTTTCGCAGGCTTCTTGGGGCAAGATGGAGGATGGGGCTGCACAAGAGGCACATTGGAGAATAGTAATAATAATGAGAAGAAGAAGACGAAGAGTAATAATGGTGAGAGAAGGACCAAGAAGAATAGGAAGAAGAACCTGGCCAGTCAACAGGAGCCCTACGGAGATTTCTTGTCCCCGACGGCCCCGGGGACCCAAAGAAGCCGTGGGACTTGGGACATCCTCGGATGTTGAAAGGTCGGCGGCAGACGTGTCCATTTGATTTCCGTATAACAGCATCCTTCTTGTATGCATCTAGTGTAGAGAGGGAGGAGTGGAGGAAGGTAGCAGGCATGCCTTCCTGCTGGAGGAGCACGAGGCTGTTGAAGGCCTGAGTGCTGCTGGAGGATGAGGGGGGCGGACTGTGCGAGTTTCTGCTGGGTTTTCGGGTGTCTGCGAGGCCCCTGGGAGGTTCCCGCAGGCTTTCGGAGGTCCCTGACGGCGTTCTTTTGGTTGTGCAGGTTGGCGGAGGCTTCTTTGGGAGGTCTGCTGATGTCTCTGTTGACGTTCTCGAGGGTGCTCGGAGGTTCCAGGATGCCTGCCATGTTTTTTGGCTAGGAGGCTCTGGGAGGCCATCGGGCGTGTCAATGTCCACCTCCTCGGCCTCTTCCCCCGCCAGGAACGGTGTCGTCATTCTTCGAGGCCGCCGTCCTCGGCTCAGGAGAGTCGGGGTGGCGGTCGACAGCCCTGCTTTGAATTAAGGTCTAGGTCGCAGAACCCTCTCATCCCCCCCCTCGAGATGCAACTCCTGGAAGGATAAGTTCAGCACTGGCGCTGCAAAAACCATGGTCGGAAGCCTGCCGAATCCTTTACCCAGGATCATAATCCCATTAAACCCCGCTCAGTCCCGTTAAATCCAATTTTCGAGGGCTTGATCTGGGCTGGTCCAGCCCATTCGCACGTCAATCGGGGCGAGGCTGGCTCAATGGCCCGTTAATTGGGCTTGAATAGGTTTCAATCGTTCATACGAAGGCCTCCCAGCAGTTGCCTCCTCCGGGCGGGGCTGGGACCGTGATACATCGTTCCAGAGCGATCCAGAACGCTTTCAGAGTTTTCAGGAGCGCTCTGGAATAGCGCGGCGCCAGATACATCCTCCAGAGCGGCCAGATCTCAAATATCGCCCCATTGTCTTGGCCCGTTTTTGTCCCCGCCTTGACTTCGTCTCATTCCGAAGCTAAGAGTCTCTTACTTAGGATGCAACTCTTGGGAGGTTGAATTCAGAATCGGTGCTGGTAGATCCCTGGTGGAAGGCTGGCTTGATCTGGCTCAATCCAGTTCACCCTCGCTGGATCCAGCTTGACCCCGTTGAATTCGGCTTAATCGCCTCCGAAACCAGGCTTCATAGCCTTTCAACTTTTCGACGAAGACCTCCCAGGAGTTGCCTCTTGACCTCTCCTCCCTCCCCAGACCTCCCACGCACTGATCTTTTTGTCTGTCAAACCCGGGTGCTCCAGGACGTCTCTGGAACCCCATCGCGTGATCTTGGCCTCTCGCCACGCGAGTTTTGGCCTCTCGCCACGCGAGCCATTTTTTGTTGCGATGCTGCCTCGCGAGGGCCCCTCCCGAGGCCCAGTGAAGAACCGCCCAGTCGTCATCTTCGCACGACGATGGGCGTCTGCGTCCCCCCGAGACCCCATTGCGTCGCGTATATAAATCACGACGGACGTCTTTTCGCCACGTTCAGCGCCTGGGGGCCCGTAGCGGGCCCTGGCATTGTCACAGAACGACTCGGGATGAAAAACCGGTCCCCGGCAGGGGGTCCAGACCTCTGAGGAGACACGTTCCCAAGCATCTTCTGGCACGATTCGCTCAGTCCGCGACCCGTGCTGCTTCCCAACCCTTCCTCGGGGGGGGGGGCTTTGCGCCACGGGTATGTTTTTGACTGCTCCGTGGCCCGAGAGCGGCCCCCGGAGGCCGAAACGAAAGGAGGGCTGAACGTTGCGATTGAAAGTGCCGGCCTACCTCTGAAAGTCTGCGGTCGAGACCTTTCCGACTAGACGTAAGAGTGACCTTTCGCCGGAGTGATCTTTGGTGCGGGCACAGATGGGCCTTCAGATGGCTGAAAACGAAGCGGTAGCAGCGGCTTGCGCGCCCAGGTTTGGTCTCCCCGCGCCCCAAAAAAAGCCGCGCATCAAAGGTCACTCTTACCCAGGGTGACTCTTGCGTGTAGCCGACCTCTGGGTGGGGCGCGTTGCCTGAAGAAGTCAGGACGTCGGACGTCGAGGGTCGCGATCCGACTTTGCAAGAAAAGACACGCCAACGCGAGAAATCGCGACCGCAGTCCTAGACACCCTCTGTTCGCTGCATTCTTCCAGCTTGATCCATCCGTGATGGTCCCAGGGCTCGATGGGCGAAAACGCCTGGTATGAAAATGTTGAGACGCCAGGATCTCAAGGCTCGCCCCTTCGACACTCTCCCCAACCCGCCCCAGCCCATGCTGGCGACCCGCTGCTGCATCGCGCCTGGAGTGGAGGAGGAGGGGGATCGAATCGACCAGGCCAGCGGGCTCGTCAGGCCACACATCCCCTACGAGGCCCTTCTTGGAGCCAGAAGCCACAGGAAGGGGGGAGAGGCAGGGAGGGAGGGACAGGCCGCGGGGAAAGAGGACGGAGGGCGGGAGGCCCGGAGAGCTCCATCGCGCCCTCAAGGGTAGAGGCACAAGGCTGGTGCTAAGTTTTGCCTCCGGGGGCCCTCGCTGGGCCCGGGGACCTTCAACAGAACCCCAGACCCCCGACGCTGTGATTTTCTCGCAGCGACGACCCCAAGAGGTCTGGACCCCTTCCCTGGGACAGGTTTTCATCCTGAGTCGTTTTTGGTGACGACCCCGAGGCCTGGCAAGGGCCTCTGGAGGCCGAACATAGCGAGAAGCCTCCCGTCGTGATTTCTGTCACAGCGCGAGGGGGTCTGGGATGAAGAACCTGCCCGGGGCCCGGGGAGAGGGCCGAGACCGCGGCTTTCCATCCCGAACAGCTCTCTGATGGGCCCGGGTGCCCGACGGGGGCCCCTGGGGGGCCGACAGCGGCCCGGAGCGTTCCGCTTGGCAAGTCTCCGCGGCACGGCGCCGTCAGGGTGCCTCGTCCGCCCCAGGAGCCGAAAGGTTGGATCCGTCACGCAATGCGAACCTGAGGAGAACGGGGTGAAGAGGAGGAGGAGGAGGAGGAGGAGGAGGAGGAGGACCAGCGTATGAGGTGGAGGGGGAGAAGGATCACCGCCTGGCTGGCGCATACTCTGTGCCCTTGCGGGCCCACGTTCTTTTTCCATCTCTTCACGCCTCTCTGTTTGCCGCTGCGCCAGGCAGGCGTTCTTAGCTTATTCCTTGTGGCCTCGCACTATCTTTTTTTCCAGACGCAAAAAGCTCTCGCTTAATGTATGGCCAACGTCAAACAGAGGAGGACCAGTGCAAACCCAATTTGACTTCCACGATGTTGGAATACACCCTCCTACAGGCCTTCACAAGGATTCATGTCCACTCAGGAAAGTGCCCCTGTGGGAGACAACCGTTTGAAGATCCTGAAGCGTGCCAAAACACCATTCTGGGGAATCCATCGCCACGAGTCAGCCTGACTGTTGCATCTTGACGGTTCTGAATCGTGCCAAAACACCATGCTTGGGATTTCAACACCGCGAATCAACATAACTGTTGCGCCCCGACAATCCCGAATCGTTCCCAAACACCGTTTTTGGTACGTTAACCATGGGACCCGGTGAAACGCTTACAAATGTTTCAGACGAGTGCACGCGGCGCTAAGGCGATAGCCATATTGTGAAAAGAAGCCGCCGCAAATCCGCGAAATCCTTGCAATTTGTTAAGGCGAATACGCGCGACGCTAAGGCGACAGCCACATGTTGAAAACCGCCCGCCCTCAGGCCGTGAAACTCTTACAAGTGTTGAAGAAGATTGTGCGCGGCGCTAAGGCGAAAGCCACATTTTGAAAACACCTAGCCCTCAATCCGCGAAGCTCTTGCAATATTGTAAGACGAGTATGCGCGGCGCGCATGCGAGACCCACAGTTTCGAAGCTACCCGCCCTCCACTTGTGAAGCTGCTACTCTTCGGGATCATAAATGGTCCGGATGTCATAGGCGAAACGCCCGGCCCGCCCGTGCGAATGGCCTCTGGGAGCGACAGGGAGGCGTCATTCATAAGGAAAAGGAAAGAAGGAGGACGAGGAGGAGGAGGAGAAGGAGGGAACTTCACATCACGTGACGAAGCCCCTCTGCCCGCAAAAGGTCCTGGCGACCCCCCCCCGATCGCCCGCCTCCCGCGGACGCGACAGCCGGAGCCGGGAGTTGCTGAGCGACGCGAGCACCGACGCCGAGGAGGACGAGTCCGACGGCCGGGGCGGCTCCGACGGCTCCTCGAGCTTGCTGAGCGGCCGCCGATGAGCGCCCAGCGGCGGGGTCCGTGCCCGCTGTCAGGTTGGAGCCAGCTTGGGGAGGACTCACGTGCCCAGTATAATATTGGGGCCCCTCCTGATGGCTGGAAACAATATTTTGTTTCCAGCCATCAGGAGGGACCCAGACCCCCTCGAGTCATGAAATCACGACGGAAGATTGTTCGCTATCTTCGGCCTCTGGGGACCCTCACAAGGCCTTGGGACCGTCAAACGATTATTTCAGAAAGAAAACAAGCAGTCCCGGGGAATTGGTCGAGACCGTTGGGAGTCGACGTCATGAACAAAAGTCATGACGTCGGTGGTCTGGGAACACGCGGGGCCCCTCTTGACGCCACGGCCGGACGCGGCTCGAAACACAAATGTCGACCCAGGGAAGGATCTGTGGAGTCGTGATCAAACAAAAGCAATATCTCATCCCCTTTTCCTGACCGAGTTTCTCTGGGCTTCTCCTGCTCAGACCCAAAGCCGCCTCCAATCTTCAGGGCTCCTGATGCGAGGACAATGCAAACCAGGGCTCTGGAAATCACATTCGGAGGAAGCGATGAATGGGGAGGACGCCCCGACCCGTGGCTGCAGTTTTCTCAGGTGCGCTTCGTTCCTGGTTTGCCAATGTCCCCGTTCCTGGGGCCCCGACCCCTGCGCGCTCCCTGACATCCTCGCGTCGTGAAGCATCACGACGAGCAGTTGTTTGTCGGTTTCGGCTTATGAGGGGCCTCACCAGGCCCCGAGGTTTTGCGAAGTCTTCGTGGGCTCCTGAGGTTCTTCCAGCCTCGGGACGTTTTCCAGCAACTGCGCCTCGCCGAGAGCGTTCCTAGGGCGTTCGAATCGTCACGAACGGCCGGGGTCCAAAAGGAAAGCGCACCTCCGCACTCGCGTCATGAACAAATAGATGTCCTGGGCTGGTTTGGGCCTCCTGGAGCCCTCGTTGGTGCCCCTGGACGGTCAAAATTGCTCAGGATGCAAGTGCGGTCCCCGTTCAGGGGTCCAGACTTCTGGGGAGCCACGCTGCGAAAGGTACACGACGTTGGATGTCGGGGATGCCTGCGGAATGAAGCACGGCGGCAGCCGGGCACACGAATTCGAAGGCAGACGGAAGGGAAGGGCAGGCCAGCATCGCCTGACCAATCTTCTTCCCCATAGCCCCACCAGCTCACCCTCCCAGGTGTGGACAAGTCCCGCGAAACCCGAAGGGAACAGCAGATATCCCAACCCAGGGCGGGAAGGATGTCAGTGGGGCGACGGCCACGCCACTGGGGACGGGGATCGGTCAAACGATGTCCAGAAGGGAGGAGCGGCGACGACCCCGACGAGCGAGCAAGTGCGCAGCCACGACCCACGACCGCTTCGACGAGCGAGCTGGCGAGGAGGCGACGACTCCGAGCAAGGAGACGCGCGCTCGCGCGCTGCCCGCGAACGCCAGGCCCTGTGGCCCTCTTTGGCCGTCCTCCCACCAGCAGATCGACCCCGTGGATACATGGGGCGCGTTTGTTCGCAAACGCCCCGCGCGGCACGCGCCCGTGCCACCGCGTAGTCATCCACGGGAGATCGCGCCCTGGAGTCCGAGCCGCGAGGACGTGGATGTGGATAAGCTCCGGGGCAACAGTGGGGCGGGACAGGCTCAGGGGGGGACGCACCGACCCCCAATCGCCCACTCGTCGCTCACAGGGGCCCGATAGTCCACCCGCCCTGGCAGCGTGCGGCGTCGCTGTCGGGGGTCCGTTGCCGATCTGTCGGCGACGTGTCGCCGACTCCAGGTCGATGTTTCCCCCCCGGGCCAGTCCCCACCCTTTTATCTCGAAGGAAACACACGCTACAAAACATAAACGTTCGGCGCTCCGCGCGGATTTCTTGGATCCACGCTGGGCCCCCCAGCGGCGCCTCTGGCGCCGCCCCCGAAGCGCTCCGCGCGCCAGGGAGGGGGGTCCAGCGCAGATCCAAGAAACAAAAGTTCCCGTATGTGCCGTTTCCTCATATGTCTAATAACTATTCCCAACAATCCTGTGGTGTTGGGTCCTCGTTTTGAAGAGACGGTACCCCGCGTCTCCTCCTCCCGTTGCCCCCTACCTCCCTCCTCCCCCTCCTTGCCTCTGCTCTCGGCACACCTCTCACACGTTTCGTAGCCCCATTGGGAACTCCACCGAAGGCCCCAGCGGTTGCTCTCGCATGCGGTTCCCCCACCCAGGGCAGCGCTTCGTGGCCCCATAGGGAGCTCCACCGAAGGCCCCAGTGGCTGCTCTCGCATGCGGTTCCCCCACCCAGGGCAGCGCTTCGTGGCCCATAGGGAGCTCCACCGAAGGCCCAGTGTTTGCTCTCGCATTGCGGGTTCCCCACCCGGGCAGCGCTTTCGTGGCCCCATTAGGGAAGCTCCACAGAAGTGCCCCAGTGGCTGCTCTCGCATGCGGTCTCCCCCCCCAGGGCAGCGCTTCGTGGGCCCATAGGGGAAGCTCCACGAAGCCCGTGCGGTGCTCTCGCACGCGCGTTCCCACCCCGGGCAGGTTTTCCCACCCCGGGCTCCCAGCGCTTCGTGGCCCCATAGGGAGCTCCACCGAAGGCCCCAGTGGCGCAGTTCGCATGCGGTTCCCCCACCCCAGGGCAGCGCATCGTGGCCCCATAGGGAGCTCCACCGAAGGCCCCAGTGGCTGCTCTCGCATGCCGTTCCCCCACCCAAGGCAGCGCTTCGTGGCCCCATAGGGAGCTCCACCGAAGGCCCCAGTGGCTGCTCTCGCATGCGGTTCCCCAACCCAGGGCAGCGCTTCGTGGCCCCATAGGGAGCTGCACCGAAAGGCCCCAGTGGCTGCTCTCGCATACGGTTCCCCCACCCAGGGCAGCGTTTCGTGGACCTATAGGGAGCTCCACCGAAGGCCCCAGTGGCTGCTCTCGCATGCGGTTCCCCCACCCAGGGCAACGCTTCGTGGCCCCATAGGGAGCTCCACCGAAGGCCCCAGTGGCTGTTCTCAGATGCGGTCCCCCCGCCCAGGGCAGCGTTTCGTGGCCCTAGAGGGAGCTTCACCGAAGGCCCCAGTGGCGCAGTTCGCATGCGGTTCCCCGACCCAGGGCAGCGTTTCGTGGCCCCATAGGGAGCTTCACCGAAGGCACCCAGTGGCGCAATTCGCGATGCGGCTCCCGTACCCAAGGCAGCCGCTTCGTGGCCCATGGGTGAGCTCCACCCGAAGGCCCATGTGGCGCAGTTTCGCATGCGTGTTCCCCCACCCTGGGCAGCGCTTCGTGCCACATGGGGAGCTCACCGAAGGCCCCAGTGGCGCAGTTCGCATTTTGCGGTTCCCCCACCCAGGCGCGCTTCGTGGCCCATATGGAGCTCCACCGAGCCCCAGTGGCGCAGTTCGCATGCGGTTCCCCCACCCAGGGCAGCGCTTCGTGGCCCCATAGGGAGCTCCACCGAAGGCCCCGGTGGCGCAGTTCGCATGCGGTTCCCCCACCCAGGGCAGCGCTTCGTGGCCCCATAGGGAACTCCACCGAAGGCCCGCCCCAGTGGCGCAATTCGCACGCGGTTCCCCCACCCAAGGCAGCGCTTCGTGGCCCCATAGGGAGCCCCACCGAAAGCGGCATCCACAACGCGTTACAAACAATTGCTTATGATTGGGTCTTTCGCCAGGATATACATGTTTGTTTGAAGTGTTTGTATTATTCTTAGTAGTAGTGTTGATACGATGTGTAGTATTAGTGGTGGTAGTAGTAGTGACGGTAGTAGTAGTAGTAGTCGTAGTAGTAGTAGTAGTAGTAGTAGTAGTAGTAGTAGTAGTAGTAGTAGTAGTAGTAGTAGTAAGTTGTAAGTAGTAAGTAGTAGTAGTAGTAGTAGTAGTAGTAGTAGTAGTAGTAGTAGTAGTAGTAGTAGTAGTAGTAGTAGTAGTAGTAGTAGTAGTAGTAGCGGTTGTAGTAGTAGTAGTAGTAGTAGTAGTAGTAGTAGTAGTAGTAGTAGTAGTAGTAGTAGTAGTAGTAGTTCGTAGTAGTTGTAGTAGTAGTTAGTAGTAGTAGTAGTTATAGTAGTGTTGGAGTGTAGTAGTTAGTAATGCAGCTCAAGTAGTAGCAGTAGTGGTTGTTGTAGTAGTAGTAGTAGCTTGCAGTAGTAGGAGTAGTAGTTTTCTAACTGTCTTAGTAGTTGTGTGTAGTTCGAAGGAGGTCGTCGTAGTAGTAGGAGTTGTAGTGAGTGTAGTAGTAATAGGGTAGGAGTAGTCGTAGCCAGTAGGTGCTGCTGAGAAGCTGTGGTTGCTTGGCTTGTGGTGGTGGTCTACGTCGTAGTAGTCGTCGAGTAGGTAGTCTGTAGTTGGTGGAAACTACTACTACTAATACTACTACTACTACTACTACTACTACTAATACTACGACTACGACTACTACTACTACTACTACTACTACTACTACTACTACTACTACTACTACTACTACTGCTACTTCTACGAGCTAGCAAGCTAGCTGCTAGCTAGCTAGTAGTATCATTAGTAGTAGTAGCTGTTGTTGTTGTAGTAATAAAAATAGTAGTAGTAGTCGTAGTAGTAGTAGTAGTAGTAGTAGTAGTCGTAGTAGTAGTAGTAGTAGTCGTAGTAGTAGTAGCAGTAGTAGTAGTAGTAGTAGTAGTCGTCGTGAGAGTAAGAGTAAGAGTAAGAATAGGAGTAAGAGCAAGAGTAGTAGTAGTAGTAGTAGTAGTAGTTGTTGTTGTTGCTGTTTTGGGAGATGTGTCAGGCCAGGCTGGTGGGGGCACCCGCAGTTGTCCTCTTCTCTCACCTCCCAGTGCGTGACCCTCAATGTGCACGCGTGTCTGTGGAGTGTCCTGCGGCCAAATGCCCTGAGCAGGCGCCATTTCACAAGGGGTGGGTATATGCTGACTGTGTGTCTTGCTCGTTCATCTTTTTCACAGGTTATCAGCCGTTCCTTGCTTTACCTTCTGTGCCAGGTGACCATCGTTACGTTTTGCCTCATTCTGAGTTGTGCTTGTGCTGCGCCGCGCGAAGGAATGCGCAATTGCTGCAGGTGATGTGACGGATCTATTTGCCAATTTTGAACTGTGCGGCGCCAATCGAAGGACGGCGCAATAGTTTCAGTGATGGGACGGTTCGCTATCCGAATATTGCACGCCAACAATCGTATCGAATTTGATACCGTAAATTTTGTTTTCACGGGAAGGCGTCTGAATACGACCTACGCAACGCATCACCCACATGATTCCTAGTTGGATGCCGGCATCAGATATGTGACACAGATCCCCAGGACCACCGTACATTCTTGAGGCCTGGAGTGGCTCACGTCATACGTTTTACGCTGTTTAGCTGGTCAGTTGTCACCACTCTTTCGATTTTGATATACTTTGAATTCGAGTCTGAATTGCCTGTCGATGCGTCCCCCATTATCGCGGTTTTTCTTTTAATTCTCTCACGTCGTTTTTCGTCGGGGGGGTCGCTTTCCGCGTCCCCGCAGGTGCACGTCAATGCTCTCCTCTTCTCGTTTTCTGTTGTCCTTTGTTATCTCCATCCTTCCATTGCTTCTCCCCCACCATCCATGCGCCCTGTCTGCTTTCTCCTCGCGTTCCTGTTGCGCACGTTGTCACTATGCGCGCGTTCACGTTGGAGCGATTGCTGGAAGCTGCGTCATGCCGAACGGTTTTCGCTAAACGTTTTACTGCATCTGAGCACGCGTGTACTGCTTGCGGAAAGAGTCTCCGCGATCGTTCGCGGAATACCAACGCCCTGGCAGAATCGCACGACGCGCGGGCCCAGACCCGCAGGCTGGCGACCCCGACTTCGGCCTGCGATTTCGCCCCTCTCGAGGCCCGATTGGCCGAGGCACGGGCGGCGACGGGCCCCGCGAAGGACTAGAATTTCGCCCCCCTAATCGAGAACAGCAGCCCCGAGCTGGCGGGGTCGCCCGGCGCCCAGGCATTCGCTGCGCGCCACCCTTCCCAGGCTCAAAAAGAGATTCGTGAATCAGAGACGTTGGAATGGCGCGGGTCGAGGAAGTCCTTGCCCGTTTGGGCCGCGCGCAAGTCGCACAGCGCACATCGCGCCGGGCAAGCAGGGGCCGAGTCTACTCTGCGCGCACCGACGATCCCGAGACGACCATGGCGGGAGCCTATAGGTGCCCACAGCTAACCCATGACCTTCTGATTTGTTTGGTGGTCGATGGTCGTCACACTCGCATTCAGGCTGCTCT